TTGATTAGATAATACTATTGACTTTTATTAGGGAGCTTGTAGAGAGTCAACAGTATTAGAAACTGTAAGAAAATCACGGCGCCCCACGTTTTTGATCGCTTATAGTAGAGTGATCGCTTGCATTATTGTGATGTATAGCGTTTATTTTCTACTTTTTAGTTCAATCAGAAAACGTGGGTTTTTTAAAACTTTTTTAATGATTATTATTTTTTACTTTTTAGTCTTTGTTTGTTTGCATTAAAATCTTGCTATCGATTTTATCTTTTCACTTTTTTTGGGTAAACGAAGACAACTCGTAAAAAGACAACTCGTAAAAAGACAACTCGTAAAAAGACAACTCGTAAAAAGACAACTCGTAAAAAACACGTTGTGTTAACACATAGATTTGAACCCGTGTCGAGTGGGATAGCAATCGTGTGCCCAACCACTCGACCATATCGTCTCCCCCAAACTGCCCTACCTCCTGTAACTTTAAACTCGGTTCAAGCTAAATTCTCTGCCCCTAAGCCTGTGGCGACATGTGATCGTTCGCTTCACTGCGCGCGAGGTACGCGTCGCTGGTTTTTTTTGTAATGGCTAGCAGAGGAGAATTATATATATAGATTATATAGCGGTCTAAAATGCTCAATAAAATGTTTCCATTGATCAATTTAGTAATAATAACAATTGAATATTCAATGGTCATCCAAAAGAAAGCTTCCCTGAAAATTTCAGCGCGCTAGCTAACTGGGAAGTGCCAGAAATTTCGATCGCAAGATTTGATTGGAAAGACAAACACACAAACAGAGAAAGCAAGTTAAAGAAAACGTGGGAAAAAAACGTGTTAATAGAGTTCACCTGCTTTTGTAACCCAGTCATTTAAAGGGGAGACAACATATGCTTTGGAAGCGGGTCTTGCGTTATACGAAGGGTGATCGCATCTAGGTAGTAAAGATAAAGTGGGGACAGACCCCACTCTCTCCACGTCCGTCCCCACACAAAACACACATCGACTCTAGGTTAAGTTCAGAGGGTAATGACAAGGATTACATAACCGTCATAACAGCTTTGGACTTGATCAAAATAAACGGGGTTTTCATAAATGTTACAAAGCCTTTAATTTATATGCCAAACTACCCCCCCCCCCCACCCCTTCCATATCACCACAAGTCATCACTAAAGCCGTCACAAATTAGCCCTCGAATTTCTAAATATCCCCAACCTTTTTTTGGCATGACGTCTTTCTCCCACAATCTCCCACACCCCCTTTCCAAAAAAAAATAAATAGCGGTAGAATAGTGGTCTCCACTGAAAAAATAGTCACAAAAGAGTTTCTTCCAAGCATCTCTTCGGGGGGGGGGGGGCTGAGGGGAGGTGTGGTCTCCCCCCCCCCCCCCAAGAAAATGTTGTTCCCCCCCCCCCCACCCGAATATATCAAGTGCCCCCCCCCCCCCCCCGGAGTAAAAAGTCTGAAAGAAACACTAAGTCACAAGTAAGTAGGCTTACAGCTCTAACTACTCTAAGTACATCTGAATTATGATTTTCCCATGTTTTATTCTCCAAATCACTGCCAAAAATAACACTAGCCATCCACCTGTTGCTACTAATCTTAGCGAGTTAATGTGAACATTAACGGTCACAATAGTAGAGCTAGATCAGATGTAAAGTGTTTAGTTGTGAGTAGTTAGGCCTATAGGCCGTGTAGTGTAGGCTATACGCCACTGGACACTCGTCCAGCTTTCAAAGTTTCCAACACAGATTTCACCAGCCGTTTTGCAGATGTAAAAATTGCACACAGAAAACAACAGTACGACTTTAGTTGTTTTTTTTAAATGACGTAACGCGACAGTTCAAGAGAAAATGTCTGTTATGTCTAGTCAGCAACATAGGAGTTTGTTGTTTAGTATAGTAGACAACCAATGCCTGTTCAACGACGCTTAAATCTTAGCCATTGCACGTCATTAATATTTTTTTAATGTAATGAAATACGTGTATAGCCTGGTATTGTAAATAATACACATGACTAAAAACAAAGCACTTACCTGTTCTTGAAAAATTAAATAACTCCTAACACTTGCACATCGACACAAACAATAGTTCCAACTTGCATTCTATGCAGCAAGCTGAATCCGATTTTTCCCTTTATGGGTCAGAGGTCACGACCTTATAATGTAAACCATGACCGACTTTCTAGCTAATGTGCGGAGAACTATCCACAATGTTATAGTTTTGAGTTTATTTTTATTTAGTGTCAAAAAGGTATCTAGTTTTATAATAATAACGCTATACTTTTAAACCTCATATCCTAATTATTAAACCACGCAGATACAACACAACAACATATTATTAAAATTATGCCTTACAAACGGTGTGTGTTGTTTCAGGCGGCCATTAGGCATTAGCCAAGTTATGGTCAATAAATAGTGGGGTTGAGGAGGATGGTAAAGTGTCAGTAAAAAAAACACAACAAATAACACAGTCAATGAGAGAAGAAGGGCGGGAACTCCCACCTTTTATTGTCTACTTCTTTACGCAAATTTGAAATACAAAAATAAGACACGCACTTAAGGAAGTAATTAAAGAATAGGCCTACTTTAGGTTCACCCCACTCATAAGTAATGTGTAAGCTAACAGATTTTCCCATCACTTAGACACATTGTGCAATTCTTAACCCTCTCTCCCACCCGAGGTTGTAGCGTTATCACACCCCCCCCCCCCCATTCCAAACACGAAAATAAAAATAAAATTCGTCCTATATTGTAATAAGCAATAACAGGATGTATATGGGTAGAAACTGATTTAGTAAAAGCAGGGGCGTAGCGAGGGGGGGGGGGGGGCGGGGGGTGCGGACCGCACCGGGTGACACCATTTAGGGGGGTGACACCAAGGCAAAAAATAGCAAAATATATAGAGAAAAAATTGAGGGGGGGGGTGCAAATCGAAAGTTTGAGGGGGGGGGGTGCAAATCGAAAACTTGAAAGTTTGTCCCCGGGAAGGGTCACAACGCCTCTGGGGGGGGGGGTGACACCATTAAGTGCCGCACCGGGTGACACCCGACCTCGCTACGCCACTGAGTAAAAGTCAGTGTAATGTCTGTGTAGAAACTGTTAGTACAATGCAGTGTAATCGGGTAAGATTCTTCCCTGGTGTCAATGTCATCCTGCCTTGTGTTTTCAAGCGAACACAAGATAGTAGGCCAACTGGAACAACTTTGTAATGAACTAGTTATGTGTAGACCTGAAAACGGACTTTGATACATGAGAGTACTCTATCTAACCATAGATTTACTAGTATTAATCCAAGACGTTAAGAACATTGACACACTGCTAAATCGAAAAGGGGGTTTGGTTTATGAAATGTCATGTAGTAGTGTTGTACAGTAATGTATAGTTAATGAAATAATAACGAAACATGAAAAAAAAATACTTTAGATAAAACTTATATTTTAAATAAATAGTGTGCATAGTCATCAATTAATTCAATGCCTAGCAGTTGAAAAACAAATTTAAAAAGTAAATAAGGCAGAAGAGAGATTTTAGTAAAGCCAAGGCTAGCCTGTAACATTAACAAAATGGGCCTACACTACAGTTAATCAATAAGAACCAACAACTCAGTAGGCTACTTACGAGTCAAAGCTAGTAATCTGCAGAGACAACAGAATGCTCCAACTCTTCCAAAACAGAACAACGACTAGTCTAGTGTCTAGTCTAGATGCTTGTAACAGGGAAACTTAAAAACTATCCCATAAGTGAAAAGAAAATCAATATTTGTAACAGTTCTTTGTAGCTGCACGAAAAAGGCCGATAACTTGCCTCGAACTTCACATGGCTACCAAGCTTGTGTGCCAGTTCACACAAGCTTTTCTATAACTACAACAAATCAAAAACACATTGCAGATAGTCGGTCAGTAACAGTGTTTATACTACCACTGCACATGCGTGAAGAGAAGGATGGAAAGAACAATAACTCGAAGGAGAAACAATTTCGTGGAAGTCTATTTATTCGTGTCAAGGGTGTGAAGAATCTGACCCACAAGCTGCAGGGGAAGCAATCAAGTTTTAAAAATCGTACTGCATAAGTTAGAGTTGTATAACGTGTTGCCCGCGACCAAGAACTATTTTACCTATCACTAAACGTTAACAGATGTTACTTTTTCAAAGCCCAGCTGCATCGTAATGTCTACCATGGGGTTGCAATGTTTGTTCTTAATTTTCTTTAAAATACCAACTGAGATTGGTAGTATTATGTACATTTTAATGACAGAAAAAACTGCTAAAGTATTGTAAAATAAATAAAATTTGATGTTCAGTCTCCTCATCACAATAGGTTAAATCCCCACCACAAGAACATGTTTTATGAATAACTCATTAGTGTATTTCACATTTAGACAGGAAAATGCATGCAACTGAAAATTTTTAACAAATGGTTTTTTTTTGTATGGTGGTATCAATGACAAAGAGTGGGCCTATAATTTATTTACAATATCTGGCTTGAATGTTATTTAATATAGAAAAGTAGCATTGAGCTAACCTCTGTCAGAGGCTTATTTAAAGTGTTCCAGATCAAGTTTTTATTTTACATCACAATTATACTTTCTTTGTTCACTCGGCTCAAGTTTTCCCAACATAGATAGAAAAACAAGTTATTTCTAAATTGAATTGAAATTCTAAAAAAATAAAACACAAACAAAAAAATATTTATATATACATTAGTATTTTAAAGACCACCTAAAAACAATAACAATACATTAAGACTTTTCCAAAATCTTTTTCTTTTTCTTTTTTTTCTTTTTCTTCTTTTTTGTAACTTCTTTAACAGTAGCCTGGACAGAGTCCACTATTGCTTTAGTCTGCGACTTAATCCCATCCAGCCTTTCATTTTCTTCTTCTATGTCTGTTACAGAAAATACACATGCTGAAATTTTCTCATCTTCTGAGCTAAAAAAGAAAAGCAACATATAAACGCATTTTGGTGTAATTAGTTAAAAAACATGAATCTATAAAAACCTTATACTTTATTTAGAAGGAAAGAAGGTTTGTTCTTAGTATCAATTTGACAACACTTATTTTTTACACTGATTACACACAAATAACATGGGAAGTTTTGACACTAGCAACACCCCAGGTTCACAAATAGTTAATTAAAAAATGTATCTTCTTCTTTCATAGTTGTTTAATGGTTTCATACAAGAGTGGCTTTTTAAACATTTTAAATACTGTTTGCAGTAAAATTGCAATGTTATTAAAACCTGTGATCATAACAACTTGATGGGTGTTTTTTTAACTATTAATTTGGTACACATTTTATTTATTTTTGTAGTCTATTTTAATATTTTACCCTTTTTAGATAACTAAACAAAATTTGTGGGTAAACCAAGAATTTGGGTTTTCCTGTCTCCATGTGTTAATCACCAGTTAATGACAACAAAACAATGACATACTGTGTTTCAACAGGCTAGGCTTAGTAGAAAATTAATTAGCAACTATTTATCAAGTATTTTTACAATACCTTTCTGAACTTGTGCTCAACTTGTGTTTTCTGGGTTGGTGATTCAACAGCTGTGGGGGTGGAGCTGATGATTTTTGAGGATCTTCTAATTGACACAATACTTTAGATGATGATAAAAGTTTAATCCCTGGTATGGAAAAAAAGCTAAACATTAAAAAAAAAAAGATTCTAATACAATGTTATATTTGTTTACTGCAATACTTCTCAAAACTTTGAGTATGCATACACTGTTAAGCTGAGTCTTTAACTCTAATACTTCTTATATACAATATTATTGAGATGTTTAAGTACACAGGATCCTCTAACATAAACAGTTAATGCAACTGTCTAATTTTTAAAACTGAATTAATACCGGTTTGTTTATTTTTTTTCTTGTTACTTGAATGCCAAACATTGTCTGATATTGATTCAGCTAATTCACTGTTACAAAGAAGAAAAAAATATTTAAATACATTTTAAAATAGGTATAGAAAGACATTTAACATATTAAAACATAAATAACAAATAGATTGGGTAATTTGTCAAAACAACATCCAAGTTACATTTAATTAAATGTAATATTTTTTGTTCATTAGTAGTAGGTTTGTGAGCAAGATTAGCTGAAGGATTTAAAGACAAGCCAAACAAGAAAAGGTCACACATATATCAAATGTCAATAAAACTTAAACTGAAAAATTTCAACAGCTGAATAATTTTTAAATTCCAAAAACTGTGTGTGTAAAAACTTACTTATCAAGATACTGAGATAGTTGTTTAGCCACATAAGCACGAAATTCAGGGGTGGTAGTTAAAATGTTATGATCATCCTCCTGACAAACATCTAAAGATCTATTTAAAAAGTATGATGAAAACTGAATTTGTAATTAAAAATATAACTACAAATCTTATAAAAACTCATTAATAAAAAAAATTATTTTATTTTCAAATTCAATTTAACAATTAGACATAAACAAGAATTACCTGTTAGACTTAAGTTGTGGCTTTTCTACAGCACTGCCATTTATGTTAACCGTATCTATATAGAAAAATAAAGCACAAAACTAAACCTAAAAAAAAATTTTTAATTCTATAACATCTAAAATACTGAAACTACAGATTGATTAGTTGTATGTATGTATGTATACGTACATATACATACACACACACATGTATGTGAATATATATATATATATATATATATATATATATATATATATATATATATATATATATATATATAATGGAAATGCCATTAATTATCATTAATAATAATATGTTCCAGTCACCAAAATGCCCCCCCCCCCCCCCAGTTGGTTTTAATACCATTTTTAATATCAACTTTTTTAAGTAACATAATAAAGTTAAACTATGATGCAAATAGATAAAATGGTTTTATAAAGTGTATTTAGCTTGAAAATAAGCCAACTTGAGCCTGCTGAAGATGCTGGTGAATGTGTATGGCGGTTCACTTCATTCACTTACTGGGTGTTAATGCTAAGCTCTTTCGTTTACTTAAATTAACTTCCTAACTACACTCTAGGAAGTCTTAGTCTTACTCTATATTACTCTATAATAATTTAAAACAACCAATCAATGCATGAAGTAAAACTTAATTAATATTTTAATAATAATAATAGGCCTAAGGTTACACTTTCAAATAATGATGGAAGGTGTAAGTGTAATGTCAATGAATTGTAATGTACACCAAAAATGTAAGCCTTCTTGCAAACTGAAAAAATTAAAAGATAAAAAATGTAGATCTAGGCTTATGATTTAGATTATATTTTATTAAAATAAAATAAAAACTGTCGTGTATCAGACTATCATGACTTATTTATTCTATACTAATTACTAATTAGTAACTATTTAGAATCTACTATTCACTATTCTGTAAGTTAGTGTATTATGATTTAGATTTAGGCTTATCTCTTCTTCTTCTTCGTTCTTAATTATTAGTGTTGAAGGGGATCGAGATTTATCTGCCAGTGGGTTCGAACACGAGACTTTGTTCGAATTTATCAACCATGAGCTTTTTGCCGACTCGACCACGCCTCCAACACAATTAAGCAGTACGTGTCAACTGGTTATGCGCCATTGACTCCGATTTCAGCCTGCTTTTCTTTTTGGATTTGCTTCCATAGCCTTTGTCCAACCAAGAACAAACTACAAGGCAGCAGATGTTTTATTTTTGGAGTTGTCTCTCCTAGAAGAGTGGCTGTCCCCAGCTAACGAGCCTCATCTGCCCGAGGGTTCGAACTCGAGACTTTTCAGTTTAGCAACCATGAGCTTTACCGACTCGACCACGCCGACCCCAATTTAGGCTTATGATTTAGATTATATTTTATTAAAATAAAAAAAAAACTGTCGTGTATCAGACTATCATGACTTATTTATTCTATACTAATTACTAATTAGTAACTATTTAGAATCTACTATTCACTATTCTGTAAGTTAGTGTATTCAGTGTACTTAAGTGTACTGTATTCACTTCAGTATTAATATTTTATTATTTAATATTATTATTATTATTATTTAATTATTAGGTAATCTATCGTTTTGGGTACGTAAAATCGCCCGCGGCTATTAATGTACGAAAACGTTACCTCATTGTCAAGGCTGTAATAGAAGTATATTGTGATATGTTTGTGTCAAATATTATAGATAAATGAATAATAAACCTAAATCAATGGCTAAATATATCAATATAGGCCAGAAATTAACTTTAAACAGCAGTGTCTGCAAGCAAGATTTGCTATATATTATATAAACAGCAGCCATTTATAAAATAGAGTGACTTCCGTCTGAATCTTGCGCTTTAAGTCTATAAAAATAAAACTTTAACAAGATGGCTGCTATAGTAAATGAGCATGGTTGCATCTGTTGGAAACATCGCTAGTCTTCATTTATTACTGAAAAGTTTTAATTCAATTGTTTAAAAACAGGAACATAAATGAAACAAGGAAACATTTTTGTATTTTTAAAACATAAATCCTCCTCAAAATGTGAAATAATTATTAAAATGTAAGGAGTCACCTGTTTTTCACATTACTAGTCGCGGGCGATTTTACGTACCTAAAACGATAGATTACCAATTATTAATTATAAATTATCATTCAATTTCATCATCATCAATGACCAGTCAGAGTCATGGGCCATCGTAAGCGTACCGTTTGTGCTTAATGGTTTTACAGTATTAAACAAGCTTTCGTCACAAATCGCTGCTTGAATTTTTTTTGCTTCCTCTTCATCTTCACTTGAATCTGACGAGGAGATATGTACATTTTTCCTTTTACATTTTGCTTTTGATGTCCCATTTTGATTTTGACTTATGTTCATGTTGTCTATTAAAGGGAAACGACTACCGTTAATAAAAGTAAAATGAACTGACTTGCCATATTGACAGAAATCTAAGCCATAAACAACGGCCTAAGCATACTATACGGCAGTGTTTCCCAAACATTTTAGCCACCCTCCCCCTCCCCACCTCAACATATACATAATATTTCGATTTTTAAAAATATTCACAAACATAACTTAATAGTTAGGTTTTAGGAAGAAAACTTTACGAAATTTTTGAGCAAATAATTTTCAGAACGTAGGCCTAGAGCCTAACGATCTCAATTTCTCTTGAAACGATCATTTGTGAACGTAGAAATTATGTTGGAGGGCTAACAATAATCATCTGTGGTGGGCTGCTCACTACTGCAGATACCAGATCCAAGCGTTTTTCAATAACGGCTTGCAAATTGTTAAAGTTTTAATTTATTTAGCTAATTACCATTATGGTAGCAAATCCTAATTGTCTGTTGGACTCGCGTTCTGAGATCTTCCCCGGTCTATGTACATGCGCCTCCAGGGAAAATAAAAGCATAATATATAACTTAAAATTTAATTCGACATTAGGGCCTAATGCTATAGTAAAATTTAATGTGAAAAATTCTAAATTCAAGTATAAAAAGGGGAGGTAACATGATTAAATACTAGGGATTATTCTATCAACTGGCCGTAGACAGTAAACTGTTTTTGTTTCTCGGCTGAGTTTATTTATTTATTAGAATATATATATATATATATATATATATATATATATATATATATATATATATATATATATATATATATATATATATATATATATATATATATATTTGCCTGAGCGCAGAGGCGTTGCGACCCTTCCCGGCGCCCGGGGACAAACTTTCAATTTGCCCCCCCCCCCCCATAATTTTTAAAATATTTATAATGCAAAATTGCAGCTTAAATGAGCTTTTAATTTTTTTCAACCCATTTTGGCGACCCCTAGGGTCGGCGCCCGGGTACATATGTACCCACCGCCCCCCCCCCCCTCGCTACGCCTCTGCCTTAGCGTCGACTGAGGACTACGAATGAACAGATAAAAGTCTTTTAGAAATTATCGGGCTCTAACGCTAATACATAATTTCTAGTCGTAGCCTATGTGGTGTCAACTTTATTTTTAAACTAAAAAGTTGAAAATATTACAAATATAAATAAACCGGGAGAGATCTCCCCTAAACTTTCTCGAATATTCTCATATAAAACAACAGGGTATGGCAACTCGATAGACACGATTTTTAATCCATTTTAAATACTTAAACTTTTTAAAATAGAATAAAATCTCGTAGAAAAAGAATTGCACGCCAAGTGAACGCCAAATAAAATGTGCATAATAGTGCGGAATATTATTAGAACTTTATAAATTCACATGCTTTTTTTAAGAAATCGGAAATTACTACTTCCGGTCAACGGAAATTACTCAAAATTTGACAGAAGGTAGAGAATTAGATCTTTTACTTACATGTGAAATTTCATTTATCTATCTGAAATAGTAATCAACTTATAGGCTTTTGAAAAATTGAAAGTAGAAAAAGTTCGACTTCCAGTTATCGGAAATAGCTCAAAAGTTGATACAGATCTACGATTTTGATGTAATACTTATATATGATATTGCATCAACCTAGCTTTGACGGTACTCAAGTTATCGTGTTTACAGACACACACACACATAAACACACACAGACATACGGACAAGATTGTAAACTATGTTTTTCCAACTCAGTGAGGTGTAAAACGTCGAGATTTGCACAAATCTCGATTTTTTTTGTGCACAATTACAAGACTTTTTCTTTATTTTCCTCTACACATTTACAGTACCGGTACTCACACACTACTCGGTCAGACACACGAAGACGAACAGAACATCGGGTCGACGGTATCTTGCCGACAGGTGCAGTACAGCGTCTCTCCAACAGGTACATGACAGCATCTCGCCAACAGGTACATGACAGCATCTCGACAACAGGTACAGGATAGCGTCTCACCAACAGGTACATGACATCATCTCGCCAACAGGTACAGGATAGCGTCTCACCAACAGGTACATGACAGCATCTCGACAACAGGTACAGGATAGCGTCTCGCCAACAGGTACAATGACCACATCTTGCCAACAGGTACAGGACAGCAGCTCGTTAACTGTTACAGGGCAGCGTCTCGCCATCAGGTACAGGACAGGAGAACGGGTAGAGTAGAGAGAACAGGACATAGCATCTCGCCAACAGGTACAGGACAGCGTCTCACCAACAGGTACAGGGCAGCATCTCCCAACAGGTACAGGACAGCATCTCGCCAACAGGTACTTGACGTATTTGGCCAAGATGACCGAAGAAGGCAATAGAACAATGAGCTTCTGCTCGCTAATTAGGTCTGACAAACTAATTTGGTACCACAAAACTGTGGCGACATTGAAACTAGGCAAGGCAGCTAAAATATACATAGGCTACAATTCACATCCTTTATTTAAAAAGGAAAATGGGATTCCAGCCATTACGCATTTAATCATTCAGTTCAGAAAGTTTAACAAGAAAATAATAATCATTAAAAAAGTTTTAAAAAACCCACGTTTTCTGATTGAACTAAAAAGTAGAAAATAAATACTATACATACAATAATGCAAGCGATCACTCTACTATAAGCTATCAAAAACGTGGGTCGCCGAAGTAAAAGTTATATTACTATTGATTAGATAATACTATTGACTTTTATTAGGGAGCTTGTAGAGAGTCAACAGTATTAGAAACTGTAAGAAAATCACGGCGCCCCACGTTTTTGATAGCTTATAGTAGAGTGATCGCTTGCATTATTGTATGTATAGTATTTATTTTCTACTTTTTAGTTCAATCAGAAAACGTGGGTTTTTTAAAACTTTTTTAATGATTATTATTTTCTACTTTTTAGTCTTTGTCTGTTTGTTTGCATTAAAATCTTGCTATCGATTTTATCTTTTCACTTTTTTTTTGGGTAAACGAAGACAACTCGTAAAAAGACAACTCGTAAAAAGACAACTCGTAAAAAGACAACTCGTAAAAAGACAACTCGTAAAAAACATGTTGTTTGAATACGTTACTGACTAGAACACATAGATTTGAACCCGTGTCGAGTGGGATAGCAATCGTGTGCCCAACCACTCGACCATATCGTCTCCCCCAAACTGGCCTACCTCCTGTAAGTTTAAACTCGGTTCAAGCTAAATTCTCTGCCCCTAAGCCTGTGGCGACATGTGATCGTTCGCTTCACTGCGCGCGAGGTACGCGTCGCTGGTTTTTTTCTAATGGCTAGCAGAGGATAATTATATATATAGATTATATAGCGGTCTAAAATGCTCAATACAATGTTTCCATTGATCAATTTAGTAATAATAACAATTGAATATTCAATGGTCATCCAAAAGAAAGCTTCCCTGAAAATTTCAGCGCGCTAGCTAACTGGGAAGTGCCAGAAATTTCGATCGCAAGATTTGATTGGAAAGACAAACAAACACACAAACAGAGAAAGCAAGTTAAAGAAAACGTGGGAACATAAAACAGTGTTTCTCCATGACACTGTTTCTTCCAGACTTTTTTCTCCGGGGGGGGGGGGGGGGGGCGGGGGCCGACACTGTTATAAGTATATATTTTCTATATAAATTCCATTTTGTTCGGAGGGGGGGGGGTCGGTAGACTCTCTTCGGGAGGGCGGAGCCCCCCCCCCCCCTCGCCCCGAAGAGATGCCTGGAAAAAACATTGCTCCATGATTCTTCCAGACTTTTATCTCCGGGGGGGGGGGCACTTGAACTTGAAATTTTCAGGTGGGGGGGGGGCGTTAGACTTTTTTTTTGGTGGGGGGGGGGCGTTCACTGTTAAATGTATATATTTTCTATACAAATTCCATTTCGTTCGGGGGCGGTAGACTTTTTTTCGGGGGGGGGGGGCGAAGAGATGCCTGGAAGAAACTCTGACCAACAGTAGAGCAATTTCAGAAAGTCAAATGAAGCCATTAACATCCTGTATAGTTATTTGAAAAGGGTTGTATGAATCGAAATTTATAGTTGCATTATGTTAAAGATGGGGTCTGACGTATTGTATAGACGTTGAGCGATATGGTGATGTTGAAAAAAAAAATTGACGACCCATCATAACCTGTTCAATCATATTTTGTGTTAATCAATATATTTTTTTTCGTTGCGACGAAAATGTGTGAATTTGCGAATTTAGAATCTACAATTTGGCACGGCACCACTAGATCTTCATAGGCTAACTGCACAGCCATAATAAAACATGAACTGGAAACTTTTATAACTCAAATATAAAATAAACGAACTACAAGAAATTCGTTTTCATTAGATTCTTAAAATATTTTTGATAGCTTAGCAGTTTATTTTCATTTTGAATGATATTTAATAAATGCACCAAGTTTAATCGATAAAATAATACGAACAACTAAGAATTTATAATTTTGTTTCGTAATAAATGGACTAGTAATATTAGCTTGCTGTTGGACGAAGGGAGCTGATCGTGTGTGTGCGGTAAATTGACATCATAGCATTCATAACATCGCTGTTTTTATTGGTATGCATTAAATTTATAGCTAATTGTAAGTATTCTAATCTAGAGAATATATAATATTAACTAAAATATGTTAGATATTGATCTCTAGATCTAGTTATGATGCGAGATCTAGATCTAGTAGTAATAACTACAAATTACAAATGAACTTTCATATCGCATGTCAGAGTGTCTGTCTGACAGTGATGTGATAAGTCACAGTCACTAATTTCAGAGATTTACTTCTTAGTGAATTTTAGTGAGTCTAGCCTAGATCTAGATCTAGATTCTTGATCTAGTGACTAGTGATACAGATACACTTACTCTGATTTCTTGTTCTCAGTCTGTACTCTGTAGAATCTGCATAATATAAATCTGAGCTGTGACAACAAACAAAAATATAATTTAATTTTAATTTTATTTATTATTTAGAATGCAGTGGAGTTTTACCCTACAATTTATTAAGATTCTTAATAAGTTGTAGGGTAAAACTCCATTTTAGCGTAATTAATTCGCAGCTTCACGGTCACCTCCCGTTGAGCGTATTTTATTATAAACACAACCAAAACACACAAAAATGTTAGGAAACTGTTGGGGCTGAGAACGGTTAACATAAACTTCCAAGAATTTAACACTTGTAAAACATTTAACCTGCATACAAATTGTATCAATTAAAAATCATCTATACTCATAAAATAGGTATCTCTACAGTAAGTACACCATGAGAGAAAGATTTATAGGGGCCAGAACAAATGATCTAGACTTATTTTATAATGCTACAGAAAATTTTGCTTTTATTACCATACAAAAAATAAATATTTTGCATTAGTTATTGGTTGAAATGAAAATAGCATTAAAATAAATCAGTTTCTCGTATAGTTAAAATCATTATATATTTAGACTTTTAAATCTTTTATTTTTCTCAACACATTCTGGATTCTGCTTTCAATATTTAATAACAGATTTTACAGAACAACTATATTACAATTTAAAGTTTTAGCACTGCAATGTACACAATACTTATAAGTGATTTACTATAATCAGTAAGTCTGGTGTTTTTCATTTATGGATGTACACATTTAGGTTGGGGGGGGGGGGGATCCACATTTTTTGGAGAAACAGATTTTTCTTTGTTATGATTGATTGTAAACTCTTTTTTGTTCCAATTATCCTGTAGGAGCATAGAAATACTGCACAATTTCCAAGAAATTGGGTGGTTGCAGAATGGACTACACCAATTTAAATAGAGCGCAGCTCAGCTTTGATTATTTGCACACCAACTCGTAAGTAGTTATACTTTGTGTATTATTCCTCTGCTTAATGGAAGTAAAAGGAAACCCTTTGTAAAGTCTAAAATGTGTTTTGTGTTTACTGTTGTCAAAGCCATTAATTTTGCAGTTAAAAAATTGTCACTTCATTTTTCTAGTACAACTCATGAGTTCTTGTTTGGTGCACTTGCTGAGCTGCTAGACAATGCCAGAGATGCCTCTGCAACAAAAATGAATATTTTTACAAGTATGCTTTTTACATTCTTTGAACTTGGCTCTTTTTTATATTGTTTTTTGAGTTTATTTTGCTCTTTATCTGGTTGTAACTGTTGAATGTGGATATATAGGTAAGTACATAATACATTCACATTTATACTTTTCAGTAAAAAATGAATCACTGCGGGGTGGACACATACTGTGTTTTCTTGATGATGGTGAAGGCATGGATCCAAGTAAGTTCAGTCCTCGAGACTATTGCTCTTAGACACAAGATCAATTTTGTTTGTTATTTAGTTATCTGAGAGAAGTGCAATAGTCTTTTTTTTGTGATCAGCAAACCAGCATTTGGTTTAGAAGTATTCACCTGCTGCTAATTTTAGTATGACCAGTTTTTAAGTACCTGTCCAATCACGTGCACTTTAAATTAAATTTGTTTGAATCTGTTTGAATTGATTTGTCTACCTTTATTTGAATATATAAATAGTAAGCATTGAGTGTTTTTTGTTTTCAAGTTGAAACTGCGAGCATAGTAACATTTGGTAAATCTAACAAGAAATCAGATGATCTTCATCAAATTGGCATGTATGGCAATGGTCTAAAATCGTAAGTATTGGGAAACTATTTTTTTTAAAAAGATTTTTTGATTAATTGATATTTCGTAGCATTTAAAACAAACATAGTTGTTTTATAGCTTCAACAAAATAAGCATAATATTATTATCTATCTGACAAGGTAGATTATCTAGGGAGCTGTCAGGTTACATTTATAACACAAAATGTTTTAAGACTTAAAGGTTTCCTATATGAAGCTATGAGAAAAAAATGTTTTTCTTTACTTTTATCTTATTTGGTTTTGTAAGAACACACATTTTTATAATGCAATTTTTTTCCTCAGTTCATTTTACATTTTCTCAGTTCATTTATGCTTCTAAATTTTATTCTTCTCAAATTGGTGTTAGTTCATAAATCATTTAAAAGTGATTATGAACCTTTGTAATTCTAAGTTATGAACCGATAAGGTTTAAACATAGGGGGGGGGGGGGGGACAACAAAAATTTTCTCCTCCTTTTAAAAAAATATAAAACATTTGAATTCTTAATGCTTAAAACTTGTGTGTATAATGCACAAATATGATATCTTTAAATACCCACTTGGTCATAATTATCATTACAGTTTTAAACTTTTAAATTAATAATTTCATGTTTTTTTTTAATTAAACAGTGGCTCAATGCGTATTGGGAATGACCTGATGTTATTTACAAAGAAAAGTGATACTAGATCATGCCTATTTCTCTCTCGAACTTTCCATGAAGAAGAGAATATTGATGAAGTAATAGTACCTATCCCTTCTTTTGAGGCGTCATCTCGCAAACCAAAAATACTAGATGCACGACTGAAAGAGAAGGTAGGAACTTTGATAAAATGTAAATAGCTAAATATTTAAGTATTAGCTATTAAATTTAATATTAACCTCTTTAGAAAAACATGCACATTTTAAATTTCAATTTACTAAATTATTCTTGTTACATTTAAAATGGGACATTGTGGTAGAGTGGTAGACCATTTAATTACCAATCAAAAAGTATCTAGTTAGGATTCAAAACTTAAGACAGCCAAACTTTGATGGAAACCTATTTTGGTTGGGCAAAGTAAGTGTAGCTGGACATAGAGAAGAGCATACTCTCCCTTTAAATGCAAGGTCAGAGAAATAGATTACCTCTATTTCATCTGCTTAATAGTCTTACCGGTCTGTAAGGAACTATTTTTTACATATTTAGTTTAACGTTTTTAGCTGATAAATGTTTTGTTCATATTAGCAGTAATTATATTTGTTAGTTTTATAACTGTTTTTTTCTTTTTACCTACAGCATGAGTTAGAGATGGAAATAATTTTGAAGTATTCTCCCTTTAAGACATTAGATGAATTTTTCACCCAATTTGATCGATTAGAAGGTCAATCTGGCACATTGGTTATGGTCTACAATTTAAAGCTGCTAGATTCTGGTGATACTGAACTGGATTTTCTCACAGACGCCACTGATATTATTTTAGCCAACCCCAGTAGTCATGACTTTGATTCTGATGAAGGGTTAGTTTATAAGCTTATTAACGTAAACGCATCTAAATGATCAGTTTTGATTTTCAACTGTTTTTTAAACAGTTATATAAAATGTTTAATTTAACTTAGATCAAGATTCAAGCTAATTTTTTTAACATTAGCACAATAATGTTTTCTATTGGGTTTTAACTGCTTTCTATTGATGTTTTTACAGGCTTATGCCTGAAAAAAAGTCATTCAGGGCCTATGCAGCTATTTTATATATGGACCCACGAATGAGAATTTATCTACAAAACAAGAAAGTGCGGACTAAAAGACTAGCCTGCACATTATATAAATCAAAAATCTATAAATATTCATCTAATCGATTTAAAACAAGGGCAGAGAATGAAGCAAAACGAGCTATAGATGAGGCACTGTCCGCTGAGAATAAAGCCAGGGAAGCTGAAAGCAAAGCAAAGTAGGTCACTAATAATAGCCATTTCTGTAAATCAGGTCACATTTAGAAGTTTTTCTTATATAAAGGTGTTTGTAAAAAAAAAAAATCTCTTAATTTTACAACATCAAAGTGTTGTTTATTTTTAAAATTTTCTGTGGGTTGTATTTATTCCCTTTCCAGAAACTTAGAGAATAAAACAGGTTCTTCAACAAACAAAGAGCACAGGGTAAGTCTGTAAATGTGTTTGTAGTTCTCTAACTATGATGTTATAACATATTATATACATTTCTCAGTTGTGTTGTTATTCTTTATTTTTGTAGGCAGCTTTAAGAAAAGCACAAAATTTTGCTGCAGAATGTAGGGGAAATGCTCAAATTAAACGTCAGATGGCAGAAAGAAAAACAAAGTAAAATTTTTTTTATAGTTGTATATTGTATTCTTTGTATTTAAAAAAATAATTTCTGTTGCCTTTATTGATTTATATTACGGTATTGTGATCAGATATTGCGGTTCATTGTTTAAAGAAAATTAATCATATCAAAGATTTATTGCCCCAATCCCACTTTATGAAAAGATCAATTTTTTGTGTAATTTATAATCTAATTCCTAATTATCAGGTCCTTGAAAGAACCTAAAACTCTAAATCTTATATTTGGGCTAAACCTGGAAAATCGCAGCCATGATGGTGTCTTTGTTTATAACTGTAGTCGCCTAATCAAGATGTATGAGAAAGTTGGACCTCAGAATGAAGGAGGAGTGTGAGTTACTGTTAATTGTTTATACATTTCTTCTTCCCTCTTAATTGTAATGCTGTACAAGATTTTCTCCAACACAGTAAAGTACTGCAAATCAACATTTGGCCAGTTGACTCTGATTTCAGCATGCATTTTAGGGTCGTCGTGGTTGAGTCGGTAAAGCTCATGGTTGCTAAATTCGAACAAAGTCTCGAGTTCAAACCCACTGGCAGATAAATCTCGATCCCCTTCAACACTAATAATTAAGAACGAAGAAGAAGAAGAAGAGCATACATTTTTTTTTGGGTTTGCTTACATAGCCTTTGTCCATTCAAGAACAAACAGCAAGGCAGCAGTTGTTTGAATTTGGAGTTTACTCTCCTAGATGGGTGGCTGTTCCCAGTTAACTAGCCTCATGTGCCTGGGATTATTATTATACATAATATTACTATTATTATTTATTGGTGAACTAATTATTGATTTATACTACAAACACTTTTAATTTTTAATTTTTTTTTTTCAGATTCTGCAGTGGTGTTGTTGGTAAGATTTTTCAGTAATTCAATAATACACAATGCAATTAATTAATTTTCAATTTTAATGGGTATTTTTTCCTTCCTCTGAACCTTGGCCTTAATGTTTATCATTGTGCCATCCCAGGTATAGTAGATGTTCCATATCTGGTGCTGGAACCAACCCACAACAAGCAAGACTTTGCTGATGCCAAAGAATATCGGCATCTGATGAGAGCCATGGGAGAGCATATGATACAGTATTGGAAGGATGTTGGCATTGGTATGTTGTTGATAAAGCTATTCAGGCTGAAGATTTAAAAAAAGTGTTAGTGAAAATTTAGTGGTTTTTCTATTATCTTTGATGTATGATGTAGATTTTGTACAAGTTTTACTTAAATAATTGTGTTTTATACTTAAGATTGATTTTTAATAATATTTTTTTTAGCTCAACAAGGAATAACAAAGTTTTGGTAAGCAATAGTTTATTTATTTCATAGTTTATATTAGTTCATCACTTTATTAAACTACTTGGCTGGCTGTTTACTCTTATTGAAAAGAATGTCTATTTTTGCCTCTTAACTAAGTCTATATTTATTAGTTGTTTTACATTTGTAAATCTGAAGTTGGTGTTGATTTTTTAAATCAAATACTGAAGACTTATATATTATACGAGCCGACCCGCTGCGTATCATACGCAGCTATTTAGTTGTTTTTTTTCTACTTTTCAGTAATTTATAATTTGTGAATTCGACAGTACCAATGCTGCCATTGAAAATATTTGCTTAAAAACCCTACCCCCCCCACGTGAAAGCAGCCTCCTCTTAGTTACCTCCTCTAAGTTTAAAATAGTTTCAAACTAAATAATCTGCCCCTAATAGCCGTCACCAAACCCGTCTCTGTGATTGTAAAATGTAAACAGAGTGAACACCGCTCACCAGATCATGTGGGGGTGTGGTGGGGGTGGTAGTGATAGTGATAGAGAGGAAGAGAGGGGACTGCAAAGGCGCGCTTGCAGCTTGTTTTCTAACTGATCCCAGAAGAGAATTATATATATAGATTGTTTTATATAAAGTCTAAAGTCATATTGGTATCTAATTTTAATATTTATACATAATATATTAGACACAACTGTTTCTGAATGCTTTGATTTATTTGATAGTTTAAATATTCCTTGGAATAATCATTGATTCACAAAAAGCATATGTTAACCTTTATAAAATTAAATAGTGCTAAAATGGTTGTAATAGTGAAAACTGAAAGATGGAAACACAATAGTTGTAAATTATTCCATCAAATATTGTCTTTGTGCTGTAGGGAAAGTTTTGGCTATGTCAGCTCAGAATGGAAAGCTACTCCATCAGATGACATCAAGTTTGTCAGGAAGAGAGCCATGCAGCTCAGTGTTACATTACAGTGTGGTGGGTATTTTAGCACTGGCCTCATTATAAACATAGAATATATTAACTATTTTAAAGTCAATGAACTTACTAACAATAAAGTATCTGAACTTTGTTATTTTCAATAACAGTAAAACCACATACAAATTGTAACTAATTACATTTTTTAATTTTATTAGTATTCTTGTACATATGCTTCATTTATTCATTTCAAAATTGCATTTATTCTTTCCCTTTAAGTTTAAAAAAAAAAACTTTTAAAAAGAATGTAGGTTTAATTAGTTTTGAAGTAACTGAGAATTTTCTGTGCCCCTTGATGAAACTTCTGTTGTTTTATCTCAGACATGTGTCTCAAGTGGAGAATGATCCCTTTCAACTCAAACAACATTGGTAAAGAATTTCCTGACCACTGGGTTTGTACCATGAATCCTGACCAACAGCATAACAAGTAAGATTATCACTTGTGGTATTGCCTATGCTGTTGAAATTTATAAATCTTGAATTCTTGTGCTACCACACATTTTTAGCAAGTAATTTGATTATAGAAACTCCTATCTTGCTCATTTGTATCAGCGACCTTTTATTACAGGTGCTCATCAGCGGAACAAAAACTAAACATTCCAGAAGGTGTCTTAAAAAAAGAATTTAAATCTCAGGAACAAAAGAAGAAAGATCTTGAAGAGGTGTAACAAATACTATATCATTAATTTGATGTTTCATAATTCATCATTTATGTATTAAAATATTTATCTTTTTTCTAAATTTTTTAATTATAGGAAATTTTGCGGAAGACAGAAATGTTAGAAAAATTACAGGTAAAGATCCAGTTTAGTAGATTACATGATTTTATTTTTAGAGTTTAGTCATTAAGTTAAAATGTATTTAGATGTTTCTTCAATTAGGATAAAAGTAAAAAATATAATTTTTCTTCTTAGAAAATGAAAGTGGTTCAATCCTCAAAAGATATTGAAGTTGCTTTAAAAAAAGAAGACAAAAAAGAGCCCCAGATTGAAGGTCGAGCCAGTCTAAGCAGAGTAAGTTTGTAAGCTGTTAATTTATAGATAGGCTGAATGCTAGGTAGATAAATAAATAATGTTCCTGTTAATTTTTTAAATTAATTCTTTGACAGAAAGCTAAAGCCAGATCTCCGTCCCCTCCCCCAAAATCTCCATCACCTGAACCGCCTCCTAAATCAAGAACAACTGGTTCGCAGTCTTCAGTAGCATCAAAGAAAAACAGACGCAGCCCTAGTCCGCCTGCTCGACGTGCACAAAAACCATCCCCGAAACCGTCACCACAGGTCACAGTCAAGCAAGCCATGAAACAGAAGAAAAGAAGTCCAAGTCCTCCACCACCTCCAAAACGTGCAGCCAAATCTAAAGTAACATTTTTAGTGACTTAAAACAGTATAATTTATCCATAAGTTTTTTAAACACAACAAATTTTTTAAATTAAATTATTAGCAAGTCTTTCAAGTTAGTTTTTTTTTATGTGCAACTCTCTCTTGATCTGTTCTTAGTTAACATTTTATAAAAGATTTGTTTGATTACTTGTTTTGTTCTAGCCTGAACCAAAAGTGACACCAAGAAGACGTGTCCAACGCATGGAATCATCTGAAGAGGAGGAGGAAGAGGAGGAAGTAGATGAAAATGAAGACAATGAGGAAGATGAAGAGCCAATAACTAGAAAGGGGAGGAGTCAGAACAATGTTGAGTCAGAAACAAAAGAAATTAAAAGACCTCGAGCAAAAGAACAAGTAGGATGCATTTTTTAAATATTATAATGGCACGAGTATATTGTATTTTGTATACATTCATTAACATTACACTAGAGATTTAGAGGTATTAAAGAATGTTGTTTCCTCTCAGGTGATAGAATACCCAGAAATCCCAGTGAAGAAACAAAGAATTTCCCACCTGAACACAGAAGCTAAGAAACCTGTGGAAGTTAACAATGACTCAAGCTCAGAGACATCTGCTAGGTCCACCAGGTCTCGTGGCAAGGGATCAAATCTCAAGGCCGAAGTGAGTCTTTTATTGACACAACTTGTTTTGCTGCAAAACAGTTTTATTTTCATGTTTTGCTTATTTAACTTCATGTTTATAGTAAAAAAAAATACTACAATGGTACACATTTTTTTCTAGTCCTCTGCTGATGAAAATGAAGCACAAACAACAGATGCTGTTGATGTAAAAGATGTTAGCATTGAAGGTATGTAGCTAGCTTTTGCTTAACTGTTTACTTATTTCATTATGCTTTCATATCAGTTAGCAGTCTGGTTTGCTTGTAATTCTTTGGTTAGTTAGTTGTGGATTTACATATGATATGAGGTTCAGGGAAGAAAATTACCCATAAGATAAGTTTTTCAAAAAAGTTATCTTGATACCAAAATACTGCAGACTCTGAATTTGTTCCTAAACTTTCTAAAAATAGTGAACTGTTTAACAAAAACAAATTATTATGATTTTTTTACTTTTTCAGTTGATGTTGGTACTCGAGTTGAAGCACACATCAACAATAAATGGTAAGAGAGAGATCTTTTTCTGGTTATTTTAGAAAAATAAAATGTACGGCTACACATGGTATACAATTTTTAAAAGGTGACCCATAACATAAAAACTTCCCATAACAAAGTGAATTTCTTCATATTTCTTTAGTACAGAAAACCATGTCCATGCATCTTTTGATATACCATAGATAGATATTTAAGTCAATTCTGTAAACCTGCAGGTACCCTGGCTCAGTGATAGAGGTCAATGCTGAAGACACCAGATGGAAAGTTAAATTTGATCATCACCCTAAAGACAAGTATGATAAATGGTAAGTTACACATTATTGAAAAGCATTCTTCTACAAAAGATTAACATCATCCAGCTTTTTTTTTGGAGACTATTATGTAAACTGTGATAAACATTTTAAAGTAATTCAACACTTATAGTATGGTACAGATGGTTATAGGCTATGCCTTCCAAATGATTTTCTTTCTTTTGCCTGTATTCAACACACTTTTGTTCCATGTAAAATAGATTAAATATTAATGTTGTACACAATCTTTGATGCCAGGACATTTTAAAAGGCTTTGTGGGAAAGAAAAAAAAAATAGCCAATAGTTTTGAAAGAATTTGAAAGTTTTTGTTTAGTATGGTATGTTATAATTTTAAAGGGGTAAGAACCAGATTATACTAAAAACTATTTTCTAGTGTATTCTCCCTTTGGTCAGTTAAAAAAATAGGCCCACCTACAGGAAATAAATAAAATATTAAATTATGAATAACATTTGGAAAAAAATGGTAACAAATGAAAGTGACAAATGTTTTTTTTTGTTATACACAATTTTTACATTAACATTTTATTGTTTAACTACTCTAGTTTCTGAGAGTACTAACTTAACATTAACTTATCAGGACTATTGACCTGAAGCTTCATTGTGAATTTCTATTTCCACCTTGATCATTTTAAAATAAGTAAAGAGTTGTCTTCGCTGTTTCACCTTTCTATCAGTTTTTTATCTTAGAAAAAAGTAAGTTTGTTAGTAAAAACCAAAATTTAATTATTAATATAAATATTAAATAGGATCAAGTGCGACTTAGATTTAGCTTTCCCCCTTAATATTGAGTGTAACTGATTTGTTTTTTGCATAACCGAAAGATACCGAAAACTTGATAGATTGTTTACAGCTAAACACATAGTCGATCTTAAAACATGAAGTAAAAATTAAAACCTGTATACATTAAGAACTTCATTAATTAGACTGTTTAAAAACCATTCTAACAATTTTGTTCAAAGAAAGCATATTATTTAAGCTGCAATTTAAAATGCTATAAAGATTTCATTAAAATTGTAAAAATAGAGCTGCGAAGAACATCATAAATTTTATGTTTGTAAAATGATGTGCTAAAAGTGACAATAAACAAGAGCTTTGTCTTTTCTTGTTTGAACTAATATGTAGGTAAACGTAGGGCTGTCATTTATTGAGACAACTCAGCCAATCATTTAGATTCACTCCCTTTGTTCAGCCAATCAACTAGGTGCTCTCCCCTGACTCAATAATCTTCACTAGTTAACATTAGCATTTTACTCCTCTCCCTGTCCTTCCCTGTCCCTCCCCGCTAAACTGGAGGGAGGATATTAATGTATCCAGGATTTAATAGTGTGGTGAAGGGAGAACTAAAAACTCTATTGTGCAGCATGCCAGTTAGTGCAAATTGCTTTTATGGCTTTTTCTCTATTGGAGAGTGGGACTGAATCTGTTGAAGGCCCATAACTTACAGGGCCATTGCTGTCAGCGAGGGAGGGTCTCCTGTTTTTAAAAGTGGTCTTACTTAGAGCATGGGAGGCTGAACATGAATGGGGGGGGGGGGGGAAATCTAAAGTTTAAAAGTAAAGTATCGAAATGAAAGAGGTATGTTTGGTTAAGCAAGGATGCTTTTTGCATTTGTTGTTTGTTCTATAGAAATTAGAGGTAGCTTTTTTTATTTGTTTATACTCTTGAGTAAAGGCTGCAGATTAGGATTTTGTGTTTGGAAGTCGTTTAGTTGTTTGAATCATTTAGTTGTTTGAATTATCAGCAGAGATTGGATTTATAGTGTTTTTAAAGATTTATTTTGCCATATAAGTGGGTGTGTGTCTGCATGGGTGATATATGATTTGATCAACATGTGTGCACCAGGCAATCAAATCTGTGGTCAGTGTGTATATATGGGGGATGGAGACTGTTACTATTATGGCTGTGTGCACCAGTCAATGGGGGAGGTGGGGGGATCTGTGTTCCCGTGATGTGTGAGTGCACCAGTCAGTGTGTGTGTGTGGGGGGGGGGGGGGGGGTCTGTGTTCCCGTGATGTGTGTGTGCATCAGTCAGCGTGTGTGTGGGGGTACTTTCCTTGATGTGTGGGTGCACCACTCAATGGGGGGGGGGGGGCTCTGTGCTCCCGTGATGTGTGGGTGCACCAGTCAGTGGGAGGTCTGTGCTCCCATGACAAGAGGTTCATGTTACCACTCCAACAAAGGGGAACTACTTGGATGTTAACCCCCGGTGTCAACTACATAGTGGACGGACTTGAAATTTGGCCCGTGTGTATTTAAACCGTTGCTATTGATCACTTTCTAAGTACCTCTGCACTCTTTTAGTTTTTTTTTTTTTTAAATTGGATTTTTAAAAATTTTAATTCTCTGCGTTGAATCGGGGGAAAAGCGGTTGGGATTTTAATAAGACACATATTTTCCCTGTTGAAAACCGCTTAACAAAAAAGTCGTTGGAATGTTAAAATTTACTTTTGATCGAATGGCCCATGAATATAAACTGGAAAGTTTTTTTTTAAAATCCCATCGAAAATTTCTAAAAAAAAATATTTTTTTTATTCCATCACTCTGACCCATAAGTTCTGGGAGTCCATGACTGGCGTGGCTCCACTCCCCACTCCCTCCCCCCCCCCCCCCCCCACTCTCCCGCGCCTTCTATTCTAAGTGCCCAATGGCGTGAATGAGTCGATTAGCGCCGAATGAAAGTTTATGGCAGTAGCCGGCCACTAACATTCAGCTCTCCTGAGGTTCAGGGTTAGTGGCTGGCGAAGACTTAGATGTTGGTCGATGTCGGGTGCCATCAGACGTGTTTGTTGGTACCTATTTGCAGTGGCACTGTACGGACAGCATATTTTAAGGACCCTTGAGTTTCTCCCAGAAACGTTAGCCGTATACTCTCCTACACGTTCGGTTATATTTTCTGTTTAGATGGTTAAACCAAAAGCTCACTTTTGTTTTAAAATCAAGTTCATCGTATCGGGTGAGTTGTTTCCCTTGAAGCACATGAGACCCGAGACTTCGAAAGGGCAACCCTACGGTTGTTTTTAGTTCAACGATACACTCCACTTCAGTGATACGATTTTGATTTCTGCCGTTCAGATAAATAATGCCTCAACAGAAAAAAACAAAACAAGTAAAAGTCATTTCAACACTATTCGTACAATCCGAAAACATATTAAATACGAGCGAGTGATGTTGAATTTTCTGTTTGGATATACACTGGTTAAGTTACTCGCATTTTTAAAATGTTTGAAACATTCTAATTAAGGTTCAGTCTGGACGGCAGACTTAAAACGTTCAATTGTCAGTCTTTCAAATTGGTCTCAGCTTTGTAAAGTTAAAATCGGCTATGCAAATAATTTACAAAATAAACAAGAAATATTATGCAAATTCTCTCGAATAAACTAAAGAAAATATGTTCATAAATATATTGGGAATCTCCGAAACTGTCTTCTGTTAGAACCAAACCGCCCGTCATTGTTGATACTAGCACAGATTTCCGTGCACGTCCCGTCGCCTATTCTGTGAGCATGTTGAAATAACAGAAGCCAGCTGAGCTGAACATCAGAGGGCGACTACACAAATTGACGGTGAAATTAACTCTAACCTCCATCTAAGGTCCCGTCGGGAGGGAGCGTTGAGCTGACGACCCCCATTTGTTTACCCCGACCAACATTAGATTTTAATTTCAATCAATTGTTTTGTGTAGCTAGCGCATGAGCCTGGAATTAAGGGAAGCCATCTTGGGGAGTATCACTTGTCTTTCGCCCGCCGGCTCCCCGCGACAAAATTATAGGGTGTCCACCGCATGCATGAAAATCTAATAAGCACCTTTCAAAATACGGCGAGCAGGAAATCTTTAGGGAGAGGGTAGCAGTTTACGAGAAGGGCTGGTACTGGGGGAGGGGGTACAAGGGATAGTCTGAGAAGACCCGTCGGTGGGGGTTGGGGGCGGCCGGGGTCATCTAGAATGAAATGGTGGTATGGCAGAGGGGAGGGGTTGAAATATGGTGTAGTGAGGCTGCGTTGATCGGAGAAGCATCTCGCTCTGTTAGAGTTTGAATGGGAGATTGGGTGTCCACTGGAAGAGGACAATAAGAAAATATTTGTCTGAGCTGCTCCGTTAGTCACGGGGGCTAACTCAGTGCCGTGTGTGGGGCAACTGATACGGCTATTAATGGGGCCATTGATACTCTTGCCCAGCTTCCTCAATAGGGTCCAGTTTTCTACTCGTGTTCTCTTAACAGTTTTCTATACATATCCATGTACTGAAAATTAATTGCTTTTTTTTTTAAGAAATAAAAGTATTGAGGTACAGAGAAGCTTAAGTCTACCGTTGTTTTGTTTTTTCTTGTAACAATTTCATCAGTTATCCCTTTCTTTCCAACCCATTTCGCCTGTGTGAATTAAAATCCTGTTTAAATTGTGACTTCAAAGAGGGCAGCATAAGCCATGTAACCAAATCTTCCAGGCCGGGCGAGCACAATAGGCCAACAAATGGCGCGCTTCTCCGGTAGCAGCAAGGGTCATTAGCTTTGATTTACAGCGGCAGAAGATGGCCAATATTTCACTCCCCCTATCCGGCTCTTGTGGACCCGCACAAATAATAGATGCCGTTCTCATGTAGTGAAATATTGTCTTACACGCTGGTAGGGAGGGTGGTCTTGTACAAATTGGAAGGGTGGTCTTGTACAGATACCATGTAGGAAGGGTGGTCTTGTACA